CTGTTGTCATATTGCCACATTTGTCAGTAATCATCCTTTTCTGTTTGTTTGTTTTCAAATGCATATCTGGTTCTAGTGGACTCTGGTGCAGCAAGAGATGCTGTTTACCTTATCCAACAACTTCAACTGAACACAGAAAAACTACTTGAAAATGTTGGGGATAAGCATGAGCCTCAGATTGTTCTCGTGTGCGGCATGACCATAGGGCAAAAACCTGTCTGTAACTGCACGTGTGAGGTCAGGGGAGGTGAGAACCAGCACTTCAAACCAGGGCATCTGGAAGCCTTGCATCTAGCTTGTCACGGCTCTCAGCAGTGCCAGGGCATGTTTCATGGTGAAATCCTAAAGCAATAAGGCAGAAGTAGCCACAGCATTGCCACAGTCAATGTATCTGACACAGGGAGAAGCAGGATCTCTGCTTCAAGCCTGTGGGGAGGGAGAGACAGGAGAGAGGGGTGGAGCCAAATCTGTGACACAGCCCATGGAATGTTGTGATTTGGATCATCTTATTTCCTTAGTCCTTCAGTAGCTAATGAGGCTCATAATACTTTGCTTTAATATGTTAAAGTCTTGTTCCAATTTCTGTACAGTGCCTTGTAAGAGTCTCGTAAGTATGCCAACATTTGGTGACTAGCTGGAAAGGAAAAGATGATTGATGTCTTGAAGAGCAATAAAAAGAAAGCCCCAAAGCTTTCCATTGTGATTCTGGATAGATTTCTCATTTCCCAATGCATGCACAGTGAGAAAACAAAGGCAAGTTGTTTAAACTTGCATCTGAATAGCATAGCTTGGAATGTATCTGCAATCCCAAGAGGTATTAACAAAGATTAAACATTGAATGTAGGTGTAATCCATCAACAGGCAGTTTTTCTGTGTAGGACAGTTGAAGGCAATTTAATAGGAGTCTCTGTTTTTGTGCAGTTTTCTTCCATGTGTAATATCTGGAATGGCACTGGACAGATGACCCAGTTTTAGTGTCAATTTTTTTGTTTTTTGGTCAAAACGACAGGAAATACACACTGGGCATATGAAAACAGTTCAGTAAAGTTTCAACACTACATCCTATTGCTACATTGTAGTTTATTGCACATTCTGATTATTTTTTTAAACACTTTTTTAACACTGGTTTGTCTTAAACTTGAATCTTGCCTCAATGTCTGATACAATAATCTTTGATGCAAGGTTGGTTTTTTAATTAAAAGTTATTTCTATATATGTTGTATATAGTCTGAATTTGATGGCTTTTTAGAAGTGGAGAAGTAGCAGCAATACTTCCTCTTGGCATAGAGCTCTGTTTGGCCTGCAACTTGGCTGTGGTACTGAGGCTGCACTTACACTGTGAGGCCAAGGCCCCCTCAGTGCCTCAGTACAAGGTGTGTGCTGCCCTCTCTCTGGCCCTGCATGTGCATCTGCTTCCAGGAAGAGCTTTCTCAAAGGTCAGTGTCTCAGATGTTTTGCAGGTCTTTTCCACACCCCCATCTACTCCTTAGGAAGCCTGATCTGACCAGCTCTCACCCAGCTTTGTTGTCAGGTATGGGTTTCCTGTCATGTCTGATCCCTGGGGCAGAGGGAGGAACTCCTGCACTTTAGGAGAGGGGACAGCCCAAGTAAGCAGCCAGCCAGGCCAGCTGCCTTCCTTGCCCTGCAAGTGCTGTCAGGAAGTGGAAATACAATCCAATCTGTCACAGTTTGCTTTACTGGAGGGTGGAAACAGAAGGGTGTTAAAAGGAGGCCAAGGACCCCTTGTGTCAGAGGAGCTGGGTTATCCCAGTCTGGTTAGCCTGGGGACCTGCAGAGCATCCCTGCTGCAGTGCCAGACCATTGTGTGCCTGCAGGCTCAGCCTGCTGTGGGCTACAGCAGCTGCTGGTTCCTTGTCCACTGCAGAGTGGTCTGAGCAAGGGGAACCCTGTCAGCTCTGTCCCTTCTATCCCCTTGGCAGCCTTGTGGGAACTCGCTATTGCTTCATGAGCCAACAATAAAAAGGCCAGTCAGACAAAGGCTGAGCAGGCCCAAGACAGAAGCAACATGTCTATTTGGTCATGACCCCAGTGCACTCAGTGCAGAAACCTTTTCTCCAGCAGCTGCCTCAGCTGGCCAGGCCTGTGACAGCACACTGTGGCTGTTGGAGAACAGTGCCAGAGCTGCTCCTCCTCCCACAGTGCCAGCACAGGGCTCTGCCAGCAGCTGAGCAGGGTATGTGCATGTGGCAGGAACAGGCTGCATTTCCCCATGCCCTGCCCACCTCCTGCATCCCTCCAGGTGGGCAGTGCTGCGTGCACATGGCAAGGGAGGTGGGGAGGTGCTTCTCAAGCAGCTGCAGACCTGGCCCTGCCTTCTCTGTCTCCACTCTGTGTCTTGGCTCCAGACACATGATTTTCAGCAGCCCCCTTTCAGTACTGGCACAGGGTTTAAAAACTGGCTGAACTCAGCTTGGTTCCAGGACCAGCCCTGTCCTTTCTCTTGTCCCTCTACTCCAAGCAGCTGCAATCAGCACTGGTAGGCTGCTCTAGTGCCTGCTGGGCACGCAGCTCCAGGCAGTGCTGCATGAATGCTGGTGTCATGAGGAAGCTGTAGCTGCTGTGGCAGCAGGTTCAGGGCCAAGCTTATCCTTGAAGCCATAAAATGTGCAGAATCCCCTGCTTGGTTTCATTCTTTTTCAAAGTTTTAAACAGAAAATAAAACCCCAGACAAAACCCAACCTCTCTTTGGTTGTTAAGCTGTGAAAACAGCTGTTAGTGCTGCTGCTACTGCTGTGGCTGAAGGTACCACAGTGACTGTGAAAAAACAAAACCTAATGCAGCAAGGCCCCTCCACACATGAAAGTAGGTGTCTGCAGCTGCACAAAGCCATTTTCCATGTGCTTTATTTACCATGTTCAATTGAGGCATTTTTTTAACACCACTTATGTTCTGCTTCCTGCTGCTATGAGGGTTTAAAATGCTTCATCTCTGCATCCAGGATCTTAATGGCATGTAAGTACAAATAAGAATTTTTAAACCCTATTAAAACTAAGCTGTGTGTCTCCTGCAGTGTTTTATCTTCCTCAGGGCTGTGGCTGTACCCCCCTGTGCAGCACATGTGCAACCCCAGTGTGACTTGGCTCTGTCCAAGTTGTTTTCATCCTGTTTTCCAGTTCAGACAGACCTGTGCTGTCAGATCACTCTGGACCACTCTAGAGCACGTGCCTCAATACAACAGGCTGTGCTCTCCCTTACTGCTGAAAGCTTATCAGAGGATTGCAACATCTCATGGGCCTGGGCTTTATTCAGCCCTGGGGAGACCCTGCAAGCAGCTCTCTGGGTTTTCAGGTCACACTCAGTTCCAGTCCTGGAATTCCATGCTTGTTATTGAGTACAGGACAGGCCTAAACAGGCCCCAGAGAGATCCCTTCAGTGAATGGACACAGGTGAGAAACTGGAACAGTCTTAAGCATTAAAGAACAAGAATAACTCATCACTCTGATTTCTTGGACATGGTCACCAACAGATTCAACCTCAGATGTGTAAAAGCTGTTGCAGCAGGAGTCACTTGCATAAACCCACTTGAGTGTATTCAGACAGAAGCAATTAAGTAATTTTACTCTGTGAGTGTAACATCTCTCCCACAGGACTCCTAACCCAAGAGTCAATGCATCCTTACCATCCTTAAAACAATTACAAAATGGCTACAACCTATGAACAGAAGACATGTCATCAATTAACTAGCACAACTTGGATGTCACCCCCAAATTAATTAGGAAAAAGGCAGAAATAGTTTGATTATCCTTTCAATCCAGCTTACACTCAACTGCAGGAGGTTACTACACTACAGCTGTTGTCCTACTGCTTTCAACAACATGAAAAGCCACTCCACATCCTGAACTAGCACTTTCATTTCAGCTGGTGGCTGTCCAGCCTGCATTTATCTACCAGAGCCATGACTATTGTCCATGCATACACTAAACTCCACACTGGTTCTTTCCAGAAGCATGGATAAGCTGCTCTAACAGCCCTTGGGACTACAGCCTTTATGGCCAAGCTTGCTTTTGGCAAACCTCTTCTGAAGTATCTCTCAGTACAGTAGGTCCACACAACTCCACTTTTCTTGTGCTAGTTCCCAAATGGGGTTGCAGGTGGAAACGGGAAGCAACGTTTGTTCACCTAAACCACAATTAACCACCCAGAAAAAACGTGGCAGTTCAGCAATTTGAGGTGCTTGTCTAGAGAGCTCATGCTGCTCACCAAGTGCCCTTGCTGCCAGGTGACACCTGCCCAGCGCTGCTGCAAAGAGAACAGAGCTGACTCTGGCCCTGTGGGAGCTGCTGAGCCTCCTGCCTTGCCCCCAAGGCAGCAGACTGTCTGCAACCCTTCTGTCATTGCAACCTAAAGAGAAAAATGCCACACAGAATACCATGGAATATTTAAGAGGCAACAATGCTAATTAGAGCCAGGGGACACAGGTCTGCCTAAAAATGGCCTGCTCAGTCTTCCTCCAGTGCACTGTTACTCACCTTTCATGTGCCCAAGCAGGCCAGGCCTGTGCACACAGCAAACTGAAGGACTGATGACTTTTGTTACACCAGCTGTTCTACAGACCCATCTCCAGGCATTTCAATCTACACATCTCTTCAGCGGCTACTCTTTCTGCATTTTACCATCTTAATCATTTACCCAAACACACGTACAAACCAAGGAGATTGTGCAGCAAGAAAAAGCTTGTTACTTACCTGAAGAGTATTAAAGCAACATTCTCCTGTGGAATCCCATCACTTGCAGCAATTTCAGACACAGCTGTCTTAACTGGCTACTTGAAAGATAACTGAGAAGATACTCCCCACTCTGTGATCTGGTGAAGATGCTGCACTGACTTACCTGATGCTGGATTTCTGTAAGCCAAGTACTTCCAGTGCAATAGAGGCAAAAGACAGGAACATTTCTACCATCACTGAGATTTCTTCACCTCTCTTAAACTGCCTTTTTCCTAAACTTACTCCTAAACCCACTTATTTATGAGAGTCAGCTTCAAGAACTTAACACATCAAGGAAGGGGTGTTTAATGCAGTAGTGGAAAAAGTTTTGTAGGAATGCACAGATCAAATGACAAAATACAGACAGCAGAAGGCAGTTTGATTAAGAGTCTTCCACAAGAAAGATTCTTGTGGTGATGCTACACTCTTCTAGCAAGCAACAAACTGACTGAAGTTCAAACCAGCCAGCATTAGAGGTTGTGCCACAAAATTAGCCTCCACAAAATCAAGAGACAGGTTCAAACCATTCCATTTCCAACCCTGAAAGACAGCCAGAACGTTTCCCACTGCTGCTTGCTTCACTGCAGTGAAGGAATGCTTCCTCTGTTCAGCAGCAAGAAGTTTCTGCAGTTGGTGTCCATCCAGCCCCTGCTTGTGCACGAGAAAAGGGCTCTCCTGCACGGCCAGAGCTTCTGGAACAGCCTGGGGAGGTCTCATCGGTCCAGGCTGCGCTTCTGGGCTGCCTCTGAGCACACGTTCCTGAGCAGGTTGATCACAGACCTGGGGTCTGCGCTCTTCATGATGGCACTGCCAGACACAATCATGTTGGCTCCTGCCTGGGGGACAGCAAACACTGCTCAGCCACATGGAACACAGCCCCTGCCTGCCTGGAGAGCACTGGAGATGGGAATTCTGGCTGCTGTGCAAACGGGTGGGACACAGGGGACATAGCCCTAACTGCAACCCCAAATCAGGTTCAGAAAACACAGCTGAAACCTCCAAATATATAATTTCTTCATCACATTGCTCCTATTTACAGCAACATAAAAGAAACAAACTCCTTTAGCTTAGGGGAGGCTTCAACAGCCACTATTTAAAAAAGGCACAAAATTAGACCTCAAAAAGATTTTGATATTAAATGTGTTTTACAGTTCCCTCTGGAAACTAAAAAATTCTCCTAAGCGTTATTTTCTGGGAGTTGATAAGTCTGTCAGCACAGTGACTGAGAATGCTGCAACCTCTTACCTCTGCACACTTATGGATGGTGTCAGGCCCCACTCCTCCATCCACTTCTATATCCAAGGAGGGAAACTGTGTCCTGAGCCACTGAACCTGAGAAAAAAATGAAAGGCTGAGCACTGAGCTGCCACCCTACAGCTTCTCATACATCTAGAAAAAATTTATCAACTTCACTACTCATTTAATTAGCTTTCAGCTCAATAAACAATGAAAGAGAAACACAGTTTACCTTTGGCATCATGTCTTCCATAAATTTCTGTCCTCCAAACCCAGGTTCTACTGTCATCACCAAAGCCATGTCTATCTGATTGGCCCAAGGTGCCAAGTGTTCAACCGTAGTGCCAGGCTTGATGGCCAAGCCAACCTGCAGGAAGGGAAGCCAAATCCAAGTGCACGTCAGGGCAAGACTGGCCTGAGCTCAGTACAGATTCCTAGGAAGTAATTACACAACTGTGTAATGCCAGGAAGAACAGGCTTCTTTCGTTAAAAATTCCAGTTCTTCACTCAAACTGAAGACTTAACTTCATGCACAGTGTGTATGAGCTGCATGTGCCAATCCTAGACCGCCTGAAGTGGCAACAATGAGTTTTCCATAAAATCATGGAATGAAAATATCTTGAGTGGAAGGGATCTACAAGGCTCATCGAGGCCAACTCCTGGCCCTGCACAGACATCCCACCAATTTCACCCTGTGACTCAGAGCCTTGGGGCAAACACTCCTGGAGCTCTGGCAGCCTTGGGGCTGTGACCATTCCCTGGGGAGCCTGTCCAGTGCCCGAGCAACCTCTGGGTAAAAACCTTTTCCTGCTATCCAGCCCAAACCTCCCCTGATACAGCTGCAGCCTCCCTCAGCTCCTATCACTGCTCACCGCAGAGAACCTACCAGCCAGGCACCTGTTAGTTAAGCACAGTGTAGTGTGTACTCCCCTCACCTTCATGCCATTCTCCCGAATGTCCTTTATCAGTGCCCCGGGATTGTCGGTCGCTTCTAGATGGAAGGTGTACTGGTTTGCACCAGCCACTGCCATGGGCTTCACCCACTGCTCTGGCGCGGCCACCATCATGTGCATGTCTGGAAGAGGAGAGCGAGCGGGCAGCGGGGCCGGCTCCCGCCGCCGGAGGGGCAGCGCCCCGCAGCCCCCGGCCCTTACCGAAGAAGGGCTCCTGGCCCAGCCGCTTGCGCAGGCTTTCCACGACGGGGTGGCCGAAGGTGATGTTCGGGACGAAGTGTCTTGGGGCCGAAGAGAGAGACGCGCCCGCCCACAGGTTACCCGGTGCGGCCGGGAGGAGCGGGCCGGGTGTTCCGCCCGCCCCCCGCGCCCCCGGCCCGGCCCGGCCCGGCCGCTCCCGCCCGTCCCCGGCGTTACCCGTCCATTACATCCAGGTGCAGGTAGTCGGCCCCGCAGTCCAGCATGCGGCTGCACTCGGCGCCCAGCGCCGCCAGGTCGCTGTTGAGGATGGAGGGACCGATCCGACACCCCGACGCCATCGCTGCGGCCGCGGCTGCTGCCGGGACGGAGGGCGGGCCGGCCGGGCGGGGGGAGGGCCGGGGCGGTGCCTCCGCCATCTTGGGGCCGCGCTCCTCCCTCACGGCTGCGCTGACGCGGCACGAGCCGCGCCCTCGGCCCCTAAGCGGCGGAAATAACAATAACAGTAGTAATAACCCTGGTATAGGTGATTTTAAGTTCCCAACCAGGTGTATTTTGTCCCCCCAAAGCACAGCTCCCTCCCCACACCGGGCCTGGAGCAGATGGGTAACCATTAACAAGCGCTGCCGGTATCCCGGAAGAAAACCGCGCATGGAAACCTTCGGAGCGCCAGACACTGACCGTGTTACGCAAGAGGCTCAAACACAGAACAGAACTCTGTCCTTTGCCGTCGTTCCTTTGTATTTAATCCTCGGGACAACGTTTGCATAAAATGCTGAGGCAACGGGAGCGACTGACACGTGGACAAGACAGGCACGGCCGGACATGGCTGAACACGACATGCGCTTAAGGCGGCTAGCACTATGTAAAGCAGCATCGTTTGTCTCCACAGCAGAAATAACACCGAGTTTGGTACAGAGAGACTGGAGGACAGCACAAACCAGCCAAAGAACTTGGTGTGCCACTCAGCAGGATGGCATTAAATGCACTGGTACGACAGTAAAACGCATGGGAAGGCAGGCTGACGGGCTGGCCTATCTATGCCCTCTCTCAGCAATCATCCCACAAAACCAAAGCCAGCTGCACAGCCACCTGGATAAAATTAAACATCATTTATAAGTTGCATTGAGTTCTCGTAGGGTAGACATTAAAAAGAGGCATTTTAGTCCTTGCTATGGCTTACTACTGTGGATTCACCTGTGACAGTGGAAACTTGAAACTGGAACGTTATATACACGGAATTAAATTAAGTAAATCACAGTTATTTTGTCATCTCTAGAGCAGAGTACTGTGGGAAGGCCTCTACTTTTCATTAAGGAGGATGCTTCCTCCTTTTCTGCAGAAAAGGTCACTCTCTAAAGTGCACTATGAATTCTGTGTGTTGTGTCCCAGCCATTCACTCAGCTCCTGTCTGAAGCTTTCCTCTCCCCAGCCTACCTGGGGACTTGGAACCGAAGCTGTGGGGTTTTTTTCTCATTTGTGCGTCAGTGTTATTATTAACACTGCGTTAGTGTTATTATTAACACTTAACATCTGGAATTCAGCAATTCTTGCAGTGACCTCTGAGCTGGGAGCTAATCTAAAGCAGCATCCTACAGGTAGCTGGCACAGGCTCCAGTGCACTGAGGAGATAAAAGCAGCACAGCATGTTTTGATCAGCAGAGGAAACAGTTTGTTATCCAGGACATCCATTGGGACATGGTCACCTCTCTTCCAACACCGAGAACCCTTTGGAGCTGCATTAGAGCACCACCTGTACATGATATGTGGGGAATAGAGGTGGTGCACTATAAAAAAAGTTGGGTTTTTCCAGCCCTGCTGTTCCCAAGACATGCTGAGATTCTCCTTCTCTCTCCATGCTCAGCACCTGGGACAAAAATGGCTTTTGCTCTCTCAGAGGTTTAATGTGAGTGAGTTCCCTGCCCAGAGTGGTGTGCACAGCTCCTGTCAAATGTGAGCACTTGGCAGATGCCAGGCAGCACAGCCTGAGGCTCCGTGGGCTGCAGAGGCTGACACCTGCTGCCAGCCGTGTGGGTAATGGTGTCAGCCCCAGGAAAAGCTGTGTGCTGCACTACAGCAGCAAGGCAGCTCTCTGGAGGGCACAACTTCAACAGCCACTGCAGAGCCCAGGAGGAGAGCTGAAGTCCTTTCTGTGGAGATGGCTACAAGGATACCAATTCCCTCCGTAGGAAGGCTGGTTTATCATGTGTGTGTCCAAATTGCAGGCCCTCAGGAGCCATAGTGGTAATGAGCACGTTTTAAATACTCTCAGAATGATCCAAAACATTTTCCTCTGCACAATAATGACGTGATTATAAACTCCACTTAGTATAACATGAGCCAAAAAAGGCAGTGTATGATTCCCAAGGGTCTCTTTGGGCATTGCTGATGATTTCATGGTTGGCTTCACAGCTATTTTGCAGTTTGCCTGTCAGCAGCTAATGGCTAAATTCACATTTCAGTGTAATTCCACGATGCTGCAGAAAAACCCTTGAACTCAGCTGTGACTTCAGCTGATCCCCCAGGGATCTCCACCTTACACACATTTATCCAATACTTGCAGCCATGAACGTTACATACATAAAATGGAACCTTTTAAAATACAATCTCAGCATGCCAAAAATAGATTCTTTCATCAAGTTTCTGCCCTGCAATATCCATCTTTTGTTTACAATGTACATATATATTTATATATATATAGTAACATGAAAATACCATATATAAATATTTACTTTAAATCCCTCTCCATACATCCAACTGCATCAGGGGAGCAGTTGCCTGGGGCCAGAAGATCCACACATTCCAGATGCAGTTTCCTGAAGTATTTTTTTAAACCTCTGGAGATGAATAGCTCAGTACATTAAAGCAGGACAGTGTGGGTTATTTATGCTACCTGCAGACCACTCATCCCCTGCCCATCTGTGCCTGTGGACAGCACATGCATTCCTGCTTACACTATATACTGTATTTCGTTTTTACAGAGCAAATACTTTTGTAGCACAAGGGCAATATTTTACAGAGTGGGATGGAACTAACAGACAAAAGTAAACTCAACTAAAGTCTGCAGGGGCAAAAAAAAAAAAAAAGAATTGTTTTATGGTGCTTATTGTTGCTCTGCATGTTAGAAACAACGGTCCCAGGCTTGAGAAAATCAAGCATTAGATTGGTACTTTCTGTCACTGTTTTCAAGGTGTAGGAGCCTTGGATTCAGCTGCTGTGTAGCCCTGCTCTCAAAAACACTACAAAAATAAATCTCAGGCACAGTCTCAGAAGAGACTTCTCTGTCTCACACAGTCCAGCAGCCCACTGAGGCTGCTGATCACAGTACATGGCTGGAGATCAGGGCTCCATGGACTACGTTTGCCTACTCACCCCTATCCTGAGAATTCTGTACCAATTCTTGGTTCCTGTGGTCCTGCCCTGAACTGAAAACAGATCTCACAAATAGAAATTTGCCAGTCTATAGCAACCAGCTGATAGCTATTTCCTGCTCTTGGACAATAAAGTGCTCTTGTTTCAATTAGTTACTGTTTAGCAGGGAACTCTAAGGAAAGGCAACCACTTCCTTTCTTCCTCCTCCCAGTACTGCGCTTCCCCAAGAGTTACACATGAGACTCATCCAGATCCACATCGGTCTCGCCCAGCTCCACATGCGCGAAGCTGAAGTGCGTGGCCAGCAGGGGGTTCTCCATGCCGTTGTCCTCGCTGATGTGCAGGACGGTGTCGCCGTGCTGCAGCAGGCTCGTGGTCTCCAGCCCCGCGAAGTCCTCGTTGTCAGAGAGCTGCGGGGGCGGCGTGCCCTGCGCTGTGGCTGGCCGCGATTCCAGGCCCTCCTCCTTCTCCTCCTCCTCCTCAGCACACCGTGCCTCGCTCTGCAGTTGAGGACAGCTGGCGGTCAGCTCAGAGAAAGCAGGAGGGAAAGGGGGACAAAAGCAAACTAAGGTCTATAAAGCATTTTCTCATTCAGATACACATTTTACCAGAAAGAACCAGGCACTGCAGATTATAAATCCCTTAACATTATACCTTATAACTATACCAATTTACATCAAAGATCAGAAAGGTTATCTGATTGAGTCATTAACACTTCCTCATTTAACATTTTTAAGCATATGGCTTCAGAGAGTAGGTTACATTAGATATCAGGGGAAAATCCTTTATACTGGGGAGAGTGAGGCACTGGAAAAGGTTTCCCAGAGAAGCTGTGGCTGCCCCATCCCTGGAAGGGTTCAAGGCCAGACTGGACAGGCTTGGAGCAACCTGGGATAGTGGAAGGGAGTGGGATGAGTCCAAACCATTCTGTGATTCATTCTATGATTCTGAACACACAGATCATTCATTTGTGCGTGGCAAAGGACATAACCTCAAAGGACACTGGATATCTGGGTGTATAAAAATGATCTCAACAACTGATGTGTTGAAGGGATGACTGGAATTGTCCCTGCACCATGCTCAGTGTGGGCCAACACAGAAAAATGATGGACAAGCAATGCAATTTCTTTTGCAATGTGGTGCTTAAACAGTCCTGAGGCTTTGATGGATTCCCTGCTTAAGGGGGCATCTCTCAGGGAGCAAGCTGTGAAAACCTGTTGAGGACAGCTTGCCTTGGTGACTGGGTCCACAAGGACACTGTATGTCATGGGAAGACAGAAAGGGATGATGCAGAAAATATATTTTCAAATTAAGAATTGTTACATAGACCTGGAAGGGAATGGCTTTACAGAAGCAGGGGCTGGACAGCAAACAGCCTAAAGGAGACTTTGCTGTGTTTACCCTCCTGCCAGCTTTCATCACAGTGCTGTAATGCAGCCAGTGCTTCCCCATGCCTGGGATGGAGCAGAGGAGGGACACAGGCTGCACACCAGGCTGTGCAGGGACACAGGCTGCACACCCAGCAGTGACGTTACCTGGCTGTGAAGATCAGCCACGACGATGGCAGGCGAGGAAGGCAGCCCGGGTTTGCCGAGCGGCTCCTGCTGGCCGGCGGCCGGGGGGCTGCTGTGGCTGCAGCCCAGCTGCTGCTGCTGCTGCTGTGCCGGCGGCTCCGCGGGGCAGGTCGGGGGTGCCTCAGGCTGAGCCTCCGTGAACGTCACCGAGCGCTTCTGCTCCGCTGGAGGGTACAAACCCAGGAAACTCAGGGTTAAATTTCGGGAAGAAATACACAAGAGAAGAGGAGAAAGAATCCATGGGGATGATAGGGTTTTGTGGTTCCTTCCATCTTTATATAAGCTGTCTAATCTAAAAGTCTTTTCTCCGGGATTTCCACTACAGCCACAGCAATACTCTGGGATCTCCTGAAGTCTAGCCAGCACACCTATCCTTGTCATGGCTTGATGAGAAAAATACCACCCATAACATCTTTCCATTCCAGAAGAATAAACT